ACCAGGAGACCCCCAGAACTTGGAAGGCTCAAAATGACTGGTCTGTAGGCTGCCACATGAATCACTGCTGGCTCTGGTTAAATGTGGGCTTATGTTTGCAGTGCCCTCCCCTGGCTGGGCAGTGAGCAGCTGTGGTCATAGGCTGTGTGGGCAGAGGGGCAGAGGAAGGACGGGACAGGGGATCAACAGTCACATAGCAGGAACACTTTAATGACCTGTCTGTCTCTTGCAAGACTCCATTAGCACAGCATTGTCCTGTCCAGCACCAGCATCCCAAAGACCCAGCCCAAAAATACTCCAGCAGCTGGCCAGAGCCCCCCAGGACTGCAGGCAGAGATGGACAGCAGTGTGGCTCTGCTCCAGCAGCCCTGGACTACATCAGCAGTTGGCTCACAGGTGAGTGGCAGCAAAGGTCTTTCGGGAAGGGCGTGCACTGAGCCCTGGGGATCTGGCTGGTGACATGACCAAGGTGTCTGGAGGGGCAGAGCCAGTTTTTGTGCCGTGTAGATTTTTTCTTCCCTTTAGCAGCTCCACGGCTGCTTTCTCCACTTCATCCATCTCCAACTGGCTGCTGGCTGCCATCTCATCCCTGGTCACTGCTATGAAGGATGGGTCATGGGCCAGAGCTCCAAGGCCCCCGGAGATCAGAGCCTGTGCAGAGGACAGGGTCACAGCCCATGGGTGCTTGGCTTGTGAGGTGCCTTGGCCACAAGTACCTGCCCTTGCCTCCTCCCTGCTGCCCTCTGCACTCACACATACCTTCTGCTCACCCTTACAGCTAAACTGCTCCCCAACCTCCCACCTTGGCATAAGCATGGTACCCCTGGCATTCCCTGCCATCCCTGCCCTTCCCTCTGCCAGGCTGGGCCCTTGGCTTACCTCCTGAATGAGGAAGGTAATGGCTGGGGTGGAGGATGTGCTTGGCTCTCTGCTTTCTTCCTTCTCGAACCCTGTGCTGGATGCTGTTCCTGTCACAGTGCCATCCTCTCCATGCAGCTGGGTGAGAGGAGCAAAGAGCTGCAGCCTGGCCTGGGAAGATCTACCCAGGGAAGATCTCCTCCGTGTTAGTGTGGGGCCTGGACAGGGACTGCCATCCTGCTGGAGCTCCTGAGTCCAGGGCACCCCCCCAATGGGACCAGCAGGGCCATGTGGGAACCAGCTCTGCCCTCCTGCCCTGTCATGTGCCAGGCATGAGGCACTGTGGCCAGCCAAGGGCAGCCAGGGATGTATGGGACCCATGCCTTCTGCCTGCCCTAGCTCTGAAGACAGCTGGGGAGCCAGAGGGATGCTGCTTCGAGCCGTCCCAGCTTGGAGGAGCCCCCCGTGCCCACTGCTGCAGTGGTGGGGACCCAGCTCCATCTCCAGGCTGATGCAAAAGGAAAGCCTCAGCAAGGCTGGATTCGGGCAAAGAGCCCTAAGAGAGTGGCTCCTTCCCAGCACAGCTGTGACAGTCTTTCCCAGGCGGGGAGGGAGGTTCACCCATGTCCCCCCCATCACTACCCCCTTTACCTGCTGCAGGAGAAGGAGTGGCCCTGGCAATTGGGGACCCCCAGAGGTGGCTTCTTGTCTCTTGCTTGGCCTTCGGTACAGCCCCTCCATGGGGATGGGGTGGTTGCATTCTGAGGGAGGGAAAGGTGGGGACATCAAATGGGTACAAGAGCAAGGACACCACTGCTATACAAAGCTGGCAATGGGCTCACTAGACTACGGGAAACAAAGGGTTTAGGAGTTCAGGACCACCTAAAGTCCTGGTGCCTGCTCACTGCCTGTGCTGGCTCCTCACCCATGCCTGGGAAGGAGAAGTCCCTGTTTGAGGAAACAAACGGGTCTGGTGGCCCCACTGCCCGAGGAGGGCCAGTGCTCCCCCTGCCCAAGGCACTCCCTTCATGCTTTATCATCCCAAAGGGTGGAAGGAGGGAGAAGTGTCTCCTGGAGCTCTCCAGACAGGTCCTGCTGTGCTCAGGGCTCTCAGCAAATCTCCAAGTTGTTGCGGTCTATGTCCCCTCGTCCCACCCACCAATATCAGAACCTTCCCCGTGCCCTGGCCCCTAGGCTGGTCCCAATCCCCCAGAAGAGGAACGATGCTGAGACTCACCCTGCACCAGATGCCTGGGTACTGCTGGTACAGTCTTCCTCAGCATCTCGTCCTCATACTCTACCCTGGCAAGGGCAAACAGGTAGGTCAGCCTGAGCAGGGACCACACACCAAGCCCAGCTCCACGCAGGGATTCAGCCCTTCTTACCTTCTCCACCCTGGAGGGACAGACCTGAAGGGACACCTGGGATGGATGAACAGGGTGGAGACCCCAAGAAGCAGGATTAAGTACATCCTCTTTTACCAGTAACATGTACAACTGTGCCCGGGCAGGTGCTGGTGGCCCCAGCTTGGGCCTTGGCACTCAGAGATTGGCAAGGAAGGGAGAAGGATGGTTCATGTGATCCCTGGAGCCCTGCTGTCCACCTCCATCCTCCTGGCACTGAGATGAAGGAGTGATGGGAAGGACAAGAAAGGCAGGCAGGGACCCCTGGAGCCACCCTGCATATTCTGGGGGCACCTCTGGGAATGCCAGGATGGGGACTGGGGACCAGTATGGAGTGTCTGCTCTCCCTGTCCACTTGTCTTGTCCCTGTATCACACCCCAAGGGCTGCTCAAACTCCTGTGTCCATAGAGCCTCTTCCATGGCTAGCACTCAACTCCTCCCCTGCTTCTCCAGCCCCTACGTGTCCATGAGGAGCCCCTGGGCAGGTCAGGGTGCAGCCAGCTGCCAGGACAGCCCTGGGGGAGCCACTGGCATGGCCAGCGCTGCCCCTCCTCACCTGCCCACTGAGGCTGATCAGCCCTTACCCCTCCAGCCAGTCACTGTTGTTGGCATTGTTGACATTGGTGTTGCCTTCCTGGGGGAAGTCATCAAGGAACACGGGGGAGTCAAGGTCCTCACTGCCCACCTCGGTGAACTGCAGGGGCCTCTGGCTGGCCATCTGGGGCTGCAGTGGGCTACTGGGCTCCATGAAGCTGTCGACCTGGCCAAACAAGCCACCTGTCCTCTGCAACCAACAGGAAGGGCATCAGGGGAGGCCTGGAGCTCCAGTCTGCTCTGGGGCCATTCCCATGGGAGCAGACACGTGGAGATGCCTGTCAGAGCAGTAGTCACTCTGCTCAGGCCTCGCAGACTGCACAGTCCTAAAAGCCTCATTGCCCCAAGGGGTAATGGCCATGCAGCAGCAGTGGGAAGAGCCAGCCACAAGCATAACAAATCCTGTCACCTCTGTGGGACAGCCTGAGCCAGTGGCAACTCTGAACACACCAGGAGGTGCAGCCCTGCAATCCCACAGCTGCCCAGTCTGTCTGAGAGACTCACAGGGATTGGAAAGTGAATCTGTTCCTGTGACACCTGAGTTGTCCTGCCTTAGCCTGGCAGAGGGTGGGAGTGGGACCCTTCAAACCAGCAGGTAAACATTCAGCACACCCCTGCCAGGCACATGAGCAGGGTCCTTTCACAGACAGGAAACTGAAGCAGAGAGCAGCTTGCCCAGGATGACACAACCAGGATGTCCTGATGCTCACAGAAAAGAAAGAAGTGCTGATCCATCCTTGTGATCCACACTGTAGACTGTCCCTCAGTGCTAGTAGCCATGCTGATCCACCACCACCACTTGGAAATCAGGGCTGGGTAGGACCACCAAACCCCAGAGTGCCCTGAGGGCTGCACTCACCCTATATATCCCTTCCTCCAAGGCAGCCTCCACCATGGCTCTTTCCAGTTCCTCCTCAGCAGTCAGGTCCCCAGAAATGGCACGATGGATTTCAGGAGCAGCTTCTTCTTCAATGCTCCTCAGTCCAGCCTGGAGGGGACAGGAAGGCAGGGCTGATGTGGCCTGGCCCCACCACCCCTCTCACCTTGGGCTTTGGAGAGGGAAACATGTTAAGGTACGCTCACTTTGCCAGGTGTCCTATCAGGGACAGCCTACAGCTCACCCTGCAGCTGGCTGGCTGTGCTTGGTGAAACAGCTTCTGGCCTCATGCTTTCCCACAACAGGAAATGCCAAGAGCAGCCTGATGGAGCGTCAGGCTGGTGATACCCAAGGGGTGGCTGTGCCTCTGTTTCTGATCTGGGACCTGACTTTTTTCCTTGGCTGGCACCTTTGCAGCCTGGTCTTTTATCTCTACAGGTGATTCCTCTCCCTCTGGAGAGGCTGCAGAGCAGCTGCTCTGGCCAGACACATAAATCCTCCCCCAGCACCTCTCAGAGCTGCTGGACAGGCTTCTCTGATGCAGTGGTCTGGCTCAAAGTCAGCCACATCGACCCCCCTCCACCTGATGCTCCACAGGGCAATGAGATGACACAGAGGACACGAGGCACATGGAGCTATCCAGACACTGCTGAGGGGAGAAGAGGGAGAAGGCCCTGAGAATGGAGCAGAGCAGGTGGATAAGGGCCTGGATGAGCAGTATTTGGCACGGACATTGGTCTGTGGTGGGAGTTTCCAGGTGTCTTCCAGTTCTGGACCTGGAAGGCACCAGACCCTGTCAAGCCCTCTCTGTAACCAGAGTTAAGTGGAGCAGAGTCAAAATCCTTCTTTGCTTCCAGCATCACCTGCACCCTGGACACTAGGGTCACCCTCAGTGGTGGGGTCTCATGCTCACTTCAGTGCTGGTTTACTTGGGGACACCTCACTTCCAGAGCTGGAGGCACGGGGGTCCCTGTGTGTCACTACAGCTCTCTGAGTCACCCTGGACTCCTCTGAGCTGGGGAAAACCTCTTCCCTGACCTGCAGAACTTCCTGCCTGCCTCCAGGAAGAGTCACCCCTCCAACACGAACCACACACACAAACCTGGATCTCCACAGGGTTCTTCTTGGGCCGGTACCCATAATACTCCTCCTGGCGCTTCATGAACTTCCTGAAATGCTCTTGGATCAGGAAAGTGGCATAGAATTTGCCCACTGTCACCTCATCATCTGGAGGGAGGAAACGAACGTGATGATACCGCTCGTCACGAGGCCCCAAGTGGTTGGAGCAGTGAGACCCCAACCAGGAGTTGCTCTGTCCCTCTGGGAAGTGCCATATGGTGACATACCTCCAATAGGTGGGATGACTTGGTCCAAAAGCTTCATACTTGTTCGCTTCCAGATTTTTTTGATAATTGCTCTGAGCTCCTCATTGGCCTGTTCAAAATTACCTGTGATGAAAACAAACAGGACAGAGCAGCTCATTCCCAGGGATGAGAACAGGAGTGAAGACAAAGCATATGAGCACCTGGCCAGTCTCCTCCAGGATGTGACAGCTCCTCCCTGCCTCCCCATCCAACAAAAATGAACTTTGTAAGAGCAAGGCTTTGATTTTAGCCAAAACACTATAACTACAGAGGGAGTCAGACCCAGCAAACAGCTGAAGCATTAGCACCACCTTCTCTGTTCCAGATTTCAGCCTCCCGTTGGCAGTCCCACAGGCTTCATTCCTGCAATCCCAGTCTGTCCCCATGCGTGCTCCAAGATCTCCTGTGCCCCGCCCAGGCTGCCATGTTCCCACCTCAGCTGGAGGCATGCACCATTCCACACTGCTGGAAGATGCTGACCCCAGCAGCCCAGTGCTGCATGCTCTCACCTCCTGCCACACCTGGCTTACCAGCCCAACCCAGCCCAGAGCTGCTTGTGGGACAGGCATGACCCATAGGCATGGAAACAAGCTGGTGGGACACCTTCCCACAGAAGGGCTTGGCAAACCATGCTGCTGGCAAGGAAGGGGTGAAAGCAACTCCTCCTCAGCACAGCCAAATTCAAAGAGGCTTAATTCCCTTCCTTTCCAGTGTGAGATTCTAAATACATGGGGAAATGCAGAACTGGAGCAGGAGGTTTCATGATGGGGAAAATCAGAATGTGTGGGAAGGGAGGCTGGTGGCTGTGCAGCATGGCAAGGATGGAAGCTGGGCCAGTCCCACTCCTGAGCTGCTCACGGTTACATGACGCTGCTGGGGTGGCACTGGTTCACTCCTCAGGGCTGCAGCACGTGTGTCTGCAGCTAATAAAGTCCTCCAGGTTGGGCCTGAGCAGTACCATGCGTGTGCCCATGGGCTATGGTTCAAAAGAGATAGTGAATAGATGGAGCCAAGGGTTTGTCCAGAGGGTCTAGCCAGTGTCCTGAGATCCCTGGAGAGTGGGGGAATGCTGTGTAACATGTGCCTGGCAGCACAAGGAGACTCCCCCCATCAGGCTGTGGAAGCAGGCAGGAATATCACTTACCTTCTGTCTTGATCTTGAGGGCTGTTCTCACCAGCGCAAAGAGGGTCGCATTGAAGGTGACAGTGCCGTCACTGTTCAGGGGCATATTCATACACACCAGACGCTGCACAGCAAACCAACACCCATGACCCTGGGCAGCAGGGCAAGTGGGCAGCTCCCCAGACACACTGCCTGGCCTGGCCAGAGGCTCTGCTCCAGACATGGAGCCTTCCCAGCCCTACCTGCTCTGCCCAGGCCCAGGGGCTCTGCACCACCACTGGCAGCACATGGGCCAGAGGCAGTGACATCCCTCATCCCAACCAGCTGGCTGAACCACAGCAAGCATCAGGGAGAGCCAGCAGAAATAACCCAACCCATGAGGCATGTGTGCCACGGGACAAAATCATGGATTCACAGAATTGTTTAGGTTGGAAAAGACCTTTGAGAACATCAAGTCCAATCAGTCCCCTACCACTGCCAAGACCACCAAGGAACTGTGTCCCCGAGTGCCATATCTATACGTCTTTTAACTCTCTCCAGGGAGGTGATTCATCACTGTCCTGGGCAGCCTGTGCCAGGGGCTGACCAATCTTTTGGTGAAAAAATTTTCCCTAATAGCCAACATAAACCTCTCATGGTACATACAACTTGAGGCCATTTTCTCCTGTCTTGTCACTTGCCACCTGAGAGAAGAGACCAACCTCCACCTAGCTCCAACTTCTTGTCAGGGAGGTCCCCTCTGAACCCCATCTGCTCAAGGCTGAGCACCCCCAGCTGCTCTCAGAGAGACAGGAGTCATTCCACACTGTTCTCCCTGCTCCAAAACATGATCCAGTCTGCTGTGAGTGATCTGGGAATCAAATCTCCTGGTGAGTTTGCCCAAAACCCAGGAGGGATTAGACCAGTGCCTGAGCCCCCGCCCATGCACATTCCACAGGCCCTGGATTTGTCCAGAATGAACTAAGCCAGGAAAGTGTATTCCTGCCTACAGAGTAGGGGTTTCCTTCTCCCTCAGTGCTATCGGCCCTTGAGAACAAGCTCCTTCAACTCCTGACATGACTGTGCACTCAGGCCCAGCACTGCTCTCCTGTCGCAGCTGCAGACATGGGTCCCCCAACTCGTGTGGCATGGCAGTCCCCTGTACAAAGGGCTCTGGGCAAAGCCCAGCTGAGCAGGGCCATCCCCTCATGGGGTGGTGGAGTGTGGTGAGCACAGGCAAGTCTTTTTCTTCCGCAGCCTGAACCACATCAGCTCTGTGCAGGTCAACAGCATTTCTCCTTGTCCCCGAACAACTCCCTCCATTCAACAAGAGAGGTCAGAGCTTGGTATTAGCCACAGCACTGAAAAGGTGGATGGGCTGTCGCCCTCAGCCTCCTGGGGAGGACACAGGGACAACTTTGGGAAGGTGTCCATGTGCTCACACACCCTGTCGCCCCCTTGGCTCCTACCTTACAAGCTACACGGTGTGGGCAGAACTTCCCAAAGCCCAGGGGAGGCTGGATACGCCTCAGCAGAGTCACCACATCCAAGTGTTTGATTCTGCCTCTGCAGAGGAAACGCACTAGATCAGCAGGTGCCATCCCACGGGTGGCAGAGCCGTGTGACGGTGGCTCAGGGAGACGCCGTGGGGGCTCAGCCCTGGGGTCTGCCCCATGCTTCCATAGCAGCAAATCCCTACACTGCCCTGTGCTCCTCCTGGGGAAAGCAGCTGCTCCTTGTGGCACCAGGTAAATGTGTGCAGTAGCATGCAAAGAGTGGGGAGCATCAGTACAACTGGATGAAGAGGAAACTGAAGGTTTCATGTTCCCAAACATCCTGATGGCTTGTATCAGCCCTGGAACATGCTGGCAAGTCCACATCCATCTCTGGGATGCTGGAATCTAACTCCTAAGCAGTGTCACAGCTCACTGCCACACATCTCAGGGCAGCTAACCCCGTGGACCAACCCCTCTATGCCACTCACCCCCTGACACTCACTTGGCCTCAGGATCATACTCAGCCCAGATCCGTTTGAACTCATCCAGGTGATGGGGCCCAAGGATGGACCAGTCCCGGGTCAGGTAGTCAAAGTTGTCCATGATGACAGCCACAAAAAGGTTAATGATCTGAGGGCAGAGGAGCATGTGGGAAGGATCCAGTTAGGGCAGAGAGACCTGCCAGCTAGACAGCAGCACGGAAACATAGGCAGATGTGTTTGAGAGCAGAAGGGGCTTGAGATCCCCTGGGGTCAGGGGAGACTGAGTAAGGGTCTCCCCATGCAGGGAGGGACCTCCCGCTCCAGCAGGTCATGTGAAATGACAGGCACAGAGCATCTCGTCCCTCTCCACCCTTGCAAAGGCACAGACACAGGTGGATGGCAGCACATGGAAGCTGTAGGAAGGAACTAAAGGGGGATCCTGGGCCCCCCAGGAGTGCAGTGCTGGTTTACAGCATGGGCTGTAAATCCACTGAGTTTAGGTGGGCTGGGGGTGATGCCCCCAGGAAGAGGGTGCTGTGGGCTCCCCCCATTAGACATATGGCTACCTCAGCACTGGGGCTGGCCGGGCAGGACAGGGGTGCCAAAAGGAGTCCCACGGGAGCCGACGTACCAGGAAGGCACAGAGCATGTAGAAGCTGATGAAATAGAAGTAGGCGAAGCCAGTGCCACAGCTGTACTCCTCGCCCTCGGCATAGTCCGACTCCGGGTCGCAGCGCCTGCCGTAGCTGCAGTCCAGCAGGATCTCCTGCCAGGCCTCGCCAGTTGCACACCTGGGGAGAGGTGATACTTGCTGGAGCTTGTCTGTCCTGAACAGGACCTGGGCATGCAGGAAGGCTGGGGCCAGCCCAGCATACAAAGAAATGGGCAGCAGCTGGGAAAGGAGCAGTCAGGATTCTGGTCTGCTGCTGTGGGGCCGCTGAGAGTTTCAACGTGAAGAGTCAGAAGTCAAGGGAAGCTTTGGGCAGAGCTGCTTCTGCATGAGTTTCTTCACAATTCACAAACTAAAATCCAGCCTGGGAAGGAAATATTCAGAATAGCAACCCCAAAATGACCCTCTCTCCTGCAGCCCAGCCACAACAGGTAAACCCACAGCCTCTCCTGAAATGCTCCCACTGTTGCACATCTTTCTGTAGGACAAAAAAAGAAATCAGCTACAGAAATGCTGGTCTCCCTCAGTCCAAGCTGGGGGTTCCCACAGGCTAAGAGCCCAGCTCCCTTCTGGAGCTGTTCATGTGCGAGGACAGACTGACCTGAAGAGCAGCAGCACAGCTTGTGGAAAGGTCTGGAAGTTGTTGTTTCGGTTGATCTGGGTCCCATCCACCATGGCGATCTTCCCAAACATCTGTAAATCACAGTGCCAGGTCCCCAGCACCCCTTCTCAGGCACCGACCCCCCTCCAGAGCACTGCAGGTCCTTGAGCTACTCTTCCTCTTGTTTACTTGGCTTTGAGTCCTCAAAAGAAACTGAGACCAGGGTGTGGGTGCTCTGGGGCTCTGGAGCTACTGGGACATTCTTGATGTTCTGAAAACACTCCTGACTACAACTACACTACATCTGGGTCAAGGAGATGAGGTCTCATGAACCAGCACAAGCACTAGTGCCTGTGTCTGGGCTGTCCCTTTGACTCCCAAAGCACTCTTTGCCATGCACCTCAACTGCCCCTGCCCGGGGATGGGAGGCTGTTGGGGTGCAAAGCATCCTTAGAGACTAGAGTAAACAGCTCATGTGCAAAGTCCTAAGGAGGGCCTGAGAGAGGACCCAGTCCCTCCCTGTGCCACCTCCCCAGGTGCTATCAGGCTCAGGGCATCTGCACAAGACCAAATCCCTGCCCTGTGCCTCTCACCTGCATCCCGATCACAGCATATATGAAGAAAAGCATCACGATCAGCAGGGCCACATATGGCAAAGCCTGTGACAAAAGGACCATGGCTTGTGTGAGACACCAGCCCAGCACAAAGGCAACTCAGGGACAGGGGGTCGGCTCTGGAGCTGCTGCACAAGGCCAGCATTCAGGTCTCTGTGTGGAGAGAGGACAGCTTACCTGTTCCTCTAACCACCTTCCTGCTGGCCCCCCTCCCTGGTTCTCACTTATGGGAGGCTGATGCCAGCGCCCACGGGAGCACCAGTCTCTGCAGCTGGGACAGAGACTGAGCACACCCCAGGGCTGCCCAGGGCTCAGGCAACTGCTCAGGGCAGGGCTGGGAGCTGATGCTGCAGCATGCCCTAATGTACTCACACGGTGCAGAGCCCAGCCTTGCTGGGACTGGGGTGCATGGGCCCAGGCAGGCACTGCCTGCACCCAGCCCGGCTCTGACACAGTGCTGTCAGCCAGGGAGACCCCCACACCTCCCTACCCACATGGACAATGCTCTCCACACCACAAGCCCCTGTCCCAGTCTGAGGCCAGCAGCAGCCTGCCAGCACTGGAGCCTTCCTCCTCTGCCTGGTGATGCTGGGCTGCTCACTCTGACAGTCTGAGGACCAGCCAGCCTCAGCCATGTGCATGTCTGGAAGGGGAGTGCTGCTCCTCACAGACCTGGAAGGACTTGATGAAGGTCCACAGCAGGGTCCTGACACCTTCCCCCCGGCTCAGCAGCTTCACCAGCCGCATCACCCGGAACAGTCGGAAGAAAGTGATGGAGACGCGGGAGTTGTCATCGGATTCCTGCAGGCAAAGCTCAAAAGCTGGAGGGCACCAAGTGCTGAAGCCTCCAGGCAGTCAAGGGGGTAACAAGATCCCACCCCAAGGCACCAGTCATGGTCCCCACAGCCCCTGCCTTCACAGAGGACCAGACTGCAAAGGGGATGTCCTGGCACTTTTTCCTCCAGCCTTCCCAAGGATCTCATTTCCCCAGCTCCCTTGGCTCCCACCACTGACACTGCAGGGGAGAAGGCATGCTGTGTGGGACATCAGGGACAGGCACAGCCCCACCAGGCTCTCACCCAGCACATCCTGGATTTGTAGAGTGAGGTGTAGGGTGAGTGACAGGCACAAGAAGGGTTAATGGCAGCTCTTTGAACACAGAAAGGCTGGTTTGGGAATGCTCCACGGACAAAAGGAGGGGCTGAAGGCAGGTGGCTCTGGGAGTGCTGCCCAGTGTCACCCCAACATGCAGTGATTTCTATTCTCTGTAGGGCCCCCTTTGAAGAGGTGAACAGCCCTGTCCCAGGGGTTCAAAGCTGAGTGGGCAGGCAGGAAGGGAGGCAGCAGGCACAGCTCCTGAGCTGAAAGGACCAGGTTTTGCCTGGGAGCACCTGGGACAGTGGCAGTTGCAGACGCTGGGGGCTTGGTCACTTGTTCCCTTGGTTGCTCCAGCATGGCACAGTCTCAACCCCAGTCTCTGTCACCAGGAGCCATGAACAGACCCTCCTGGCACTGTCTGTCTGGACTTCATCACCGCTTGGGATGCCTCTCCCTCTGTTTCCTTGACTTCCCAGAGCTTTACTGCTGCCACTGGATCCCTTGCACTCACATCACCCAGCCCACTTGCTCCCAGCGATTTCAGGGGAGCAAATTCCAGCTGTAAACACCCCTCCCAGCAGCTCTATCTTTCCCAGTATGTCAATTCTGTGTTCCCAGGCCGCACTGGAAAACACCATCTCCTCTCCCCTCCACTTTCATTTGCCTTTCTCTCTCCCAGTGCCTCACACCTGTGAAGTGAGCACAGTGGTCAGGAACATCAGCCCCCAGTGCCCAGTGGAAACCAGGCAGAAAACCTCTACAGTCCCCAACACCAGTGCCCTGGGAGCCCTGGACAGAGGCTCCAGCAAGTGGTACCCCACAGCCAGCCCCTATCACATTTTCAGAGTTCATACAGGAGCCAACCCAGGACACCCCCACACCACTGCACCCCATGGTTGTCTCAGCCACCAGCACAGGGCCTGACCCACTCATCGCCCCCAGGACATCGGGTTGCAGCCGTGGGACACAGCCAGCTCCAGGGAAAGGCACAGCACAGGGGTCGCCCCTCTAGCCATTTCTCTGGTTAACAGTGCCAGAAGCTGCATGCCTTCAGGCCTTACAGAAACAGGGTGATGGGCAGAAGGACCAAGGCCAGCTGTCCCTACAGCCAGGGACACCTCTGTTAGGTGCTCCAACATGGCAGTGGCAGGGGGCAGGATGGTGAAGGATGGGATTGGGCCATCAGATGGGCCCAGGAGGGCTGGGGAACAGCCTGGAACATCTCAGGATAGGAAGGGGTGTCCATGTGTGTGGTGTGTAACCCCAAGTCCCTCTCAGCAAGGGTAGAGCTACACCCCAGAGAGAGCAGCTGGGTCTGGTGTGCCTCAGTGATGTGCAGGACATAAGCAAACACTGGTCCCAGACAGCGAGGGAGTGGGACACACAGCAGCAAGGGATTGGGAGACACAGCAGTGAGGGAGTGGGACACACAGCAGTGAGGGAGCAGAGTGCACAGCAGGCACATGCAGCTGATATTTACAATGCCATCACAGCCTCCGCTGAGGCAGTACAATCCGCCACTGGGTGCAAGAATAGTCTGTCAAGAGAATAAGAGAGTCAGCAGAAGTGAGGTGGGAAGGAGAGGGAAAAAGGGAGGGAGGAAGGGAAGGAGAGATGAGTGGCTGCACAAGAAGATGCAGACACACAAGAAAGAGTAAGATGGGAACTGGGGAGAGGGGGGGCATAGGGGAAGGGCAGGCAGCCCTGCTGTCCCTTGGGCTCCAGGACAAGGCAATGTGTCTGTTACTAGGCAGAGGCAGCATTTGGGTGGTCAGGGAAACACACTGACCATGAGGGACTCACCCATCTTTGTGCCCTGCTGCACCTCACCTGCTGTGACACACCCGTTAGGGGCAGGGGTGTGCAGGCCAGGAAAGCTGTGCCAAACCTCAGGACTGTGTAATTCTGCTGCCTCCCATGGACACCCCTAGATCAGGCCCAGGGATCTGGAGGTAAGCTGACCCACTCAGTCAACAGCTCCTCCTCTGCAAGGTGGGCTGCTCCCAGCATGGAGGCTTGGACACCAAGGTAAAGCTGGTGCAGGTTTGCTGGGAGTGAGCATCAAGACTGGTAGTGCCATGGATGGGCAGCAGAGAAACCCCTTGAGGTTCCTTAAAGCCAGCTGGAGACACACTCCCCTCTGTAGAGAGCCAAAGACACTCTGGGGCAGCGGGACTTGACACCAACCCCTGCCCCTTGATGGGGTGGTCCAGTCCCAGCCTCCTGCACAGCCCAGGCTCGTCCCGGCGGTCCCAGCCAGGGGTTGCAGGGGGGTTGGGTAGGCTGGGGATGTTGGCCCTTGTCAATGGGCTGAGCTTCCAGGGCAGGTGGTGGCAGGAATGACACAGCACCAGGAGCACTACCAGTCCCCTACACTTCAGAGCCTGGGGTAGGACTGTCAGAGGGCCCCCCATCCCTACTTCCCTCTTGCCTCAATATTCCTTGGGATCTGGGGGAACTCAATGACTGAAGAGCCATAAGGATCTGGCTGGGGTGGGTAGTAAAGGCCACAGCTGTCCCCCACATCACCCTGACAGCCAGAGACACAAGGGAGGAGGAGAGAGGAGGAAAGGGGACAGAGGACAGGACAGACTTTGCAAACCAGGGTTGCTTGCCTGTGTGCCACCAGGGATGCCTTGGCTGCTGCAGGGTGTCACCTGCCACCCCCACACTGTGCAGCAGCCTCGTGCTGTGAGAGCACTGCAGCCCCCCAGGTGAACTGTGGTGGATGCAATGGCTGCAAACAGCTTCTGGGGACCAGAGGTGC